GCACATAATATACATGTACATACATGAATGTTGAAAAAAATATGAATAGATACGAGGATAATCTGCTTGGATTTACACGAGCTTGACTCGTACCTGGCCAACACACAAATTTAATATTGTAGTTATAAAAGAAACTAGATGTTTGAACAAAGGTGGTGGTTCTTGAGTTGAATCACGATGGTCAGAAATACTCGTAGTTCACTCTCAATGTGGTTTCGTCCATCGGTCCATGTAAGGTTGAACATTGATTGATTGATTGTCTGATCCTTCCTAGTTTGAGAGTAAAGACACAGACTATTGCTTAAAGGCATCGAGATGATAATATTTGTTCGAGGGAGATTGTTAGAAAATTAAACATCAAGTAGAAATGGGCATCGTCTTTAGCTTAAATGGGAATTGAGGAGTTACTCTTCTGAACTAATACATTAATCATACAGTAGCATATATTTCAGAAGTGTTTAAATTATAAATAGATGGAAATAAGTGATGAATAATATTTGTGGATCATTCGAAATATAAGAATAAAATATGCCTCAAATGTCTGTAAAAAGAAGAGGATAAGTGTCCAATAACATCCATACGCATCAATATTGATGTATGTACTTTAAGAACAAAGTAAAGCGATTGCAGAAAGTGCAGAAAAAGTTAAAGACTTTGGACGTAAAATTCCATCCGCCAGGAGCAAGGATGATGGGTTGGCCAAGAAAAAGTTGATGCTGAACTTTTTGTCCACGTCATCATCACTCTCTCTATATTGACTATGGACCAGGACCAGTAGGTTGAGTCGAGTGAGCACAATGCAATGAAAACTACAAGCATAAAAGATTAAAAAAAAAAATAAAAAAAAAAAAAAAAGGGTAAAGCTACAAGGCCTTTTTTATTTAATTAATTAATTAATATTCAGAGTCCATTACTTTTTATTTTTTTTTAACATTTTTAAAGATTACAAGATTATGTTAGACACATCATCTTCATGTGCTTCCAACTCGTAACAGTGAAGCTTAATCAAAGATATATTCAAATCGATTTCAAAATGCATGCATGCCTATTGGAATATTTGAAATATTAATTATTTAGAATAAAAAATAATAGTGAAATGTGAATTAAGTAAGAGACAATTAACCAATTATATATAGCCCCTGTTTGTTTCCAATGAAAAGTAGAATTTGTACTGTTACTTGTAATGGTGACCCACAATTTTGAGGGGAAAAAAGGTCAAAAAAGCCTATTCTTGTTGAAATAATTGGAAACAAACAGGGCATAATATTGTCTAAGAGTTAAAACTTACGAAAAAAAAAAAAAAAACTCATTTATAATTTCATTTTCAATTAAAAAAGAAAAAAGAAACCGATTTAAGTTATTGAAAAAGATAAATATATGAATGACCAAAAGTATAGAATTGATCGTCAAGCAGGATGCCTGGAATCTACCTTTTTCTTTCAATAAATAGGTGGGATTATTTTTACTTTAGAAAAAGTGTCTTTATTGATTAAGAGAAAAAAGTAGCTTAATTTCAAACACTTCTTTCTTTCCCACATACAATCAATCTCGACAAACAAGCATTTCCGTTCTTTAGTAAATGGAAAGACATATTCACTTTTTGCTTTAGTCCACTTTAGGGTCTATGCCAATTAGAGAACAGATTTATAAAGACGACATCCAAATTATACGGGTCTGAAAAAGCCCTTTTTCTTGGGTGCATTTTTTACTTCTAGAAACCATAATTAAACAATATTATTTTCGAACTTCCGAATATATCGAATTTCCAGCAACATAGATAGAAGGACTTGATGTATACTTTAGGACTTTCGAGGTTGGAAAGTAGACAACTTTTTTTTATTTTTACTTTTATATAACTTTTGCTTATTTAAGTTCAGATACTAACCTGTTTTTTATTCATGCCAACTTCACGTATTTTTTTAATGCCGGGCCCCCGACATCTAAAATAGAAGGATGTCAACCATTACTGTACATGTAGCAAGATTGGTTTTATGAACAATGTCCATTTTGGTGATGTGACAGTAACTTTTTTAATCACAACTCATCTGCTTTGGAGATGCTCTCATCATGAACTAATACAATAATACAAAGTGCAATCAAAGCTCAAGCAAAGAACTGCCTCAAGACTCAGTATAACATTGCAGAACTCGAATTCACCTAATTTTTACAACAGAGTTAAAAGTTGTTGAAGCAACGACCTCAGAGAAAGATACAAGAGAGACCTACAAATTAATTACAATGAACTGGGGCTATGAACAAAACATATCGTAGCTCACCTAGTATCGAAATAAAAAACACACGCCATTGGTTTAATGGTTTTTTATGTACTGAAGACAATTTAAGGGTCGCTCCAATTATCATCTTCCCCATCGTCACTTCCAACAACCTGAATAGGTAACAAATAACAGTGAATACTATAGAAGGCCATTAAGCCAATACAAATTGAGCATAAGCAAGCTTTTCTTCTGTTTATGTTCGTTTTAGAGGGACAAAGAGAAATACCTGGCGAATTGCATTTGCCTTCTCCAAAATTGCAGTGACTTTGCCATTGGCATGACCCCCTGTTGGGATAATTGGTTTTGATGTAACGGTTGGCCTCAGACTGAATGACTACAATCATATAACAAGGAAGCACGGGCGGGTCAGCGCTAGACGAATACTATAAGTGAGCCATGCAGCTGGTTTTCATACAATCATGGTCCCAATTGAGCCCGGTCGTATAATCAACAATTTTTAAGCTTCTATTTATTAAAAGAAGTGAATGAAATTTGTGCAAAGCTATAGAAAACTGCAAAAGTTGAGAGCGCTACTTGTGCCGAACCGTACTCGTAGAACACTCCAATTCACTATGACAAACACACAAACAAGAGACAAAAAACAAGAGGCTCACAATAACAAAATTAAATTGTGTAGTCAATCTGTGCCAGGTAGCAGATGTGAAGAATTTGTCACAGAATAAGATCCGAATGGAAACAAGAACTATGCAAATATTTGATATGACTGGAAATAAATATGCTTCTCTGTCTAAATCTCTACTATATGTCAGAGGTCCTATAGGAAAAGTTACTGAGACTTGATGCTCAACTCATGAGAAAACCTACTCTAGATATTCTCTATCTGATATGTCCATTTAGAATGTTCTTAATCTATATATTATCAATGTTTCATATACTCATCTTCATGAAATAGCAGCCTAAAGGACTATAAAAATATTGCAATAGTTAATTGCAATTGGCAACTCACCTTTGTCCTAATTTGCTGCAGGAAGTTGTCCTTTTCGTCCACACTCTCGCCATTTACAGCCTGATTAGCTTCTCTTCCTCCATTTAGCTTCTGTAATTCCAAATGCTGCATACAAAAACAAGCAGTTACAAATTTATGTCTCTGAAAAAAATGATTGCATATCTTGTTCCATCAGCTTTGATTAAATAAATTAAGAGGAAAGGAGAGAGAGAGAGAGAGAATTGGAATACCGTGCTTTTTAGCACATTCTCAGCCTCAATAATTTGATCTTGATCAACTGGGGATGGCTTAGGTTGCCGAGGAATTGTAGGGGCCGAAAGTTTCAGATCAAATGCATGGTTAGGGGCTTGAATAGCAGCGACTGGGCCATATTCTACATCGTCTGAATATGGATTCATGACCCGCCACTGCAGTGGAGGGAGAGGTGGAGAAGGGGTAGGTTCAAGTCGCAGTTCTGGAAGACCATTTTTAAGGGAATTTTTTCTCTGTTCTTCCTGGATTAAATGATTTACGGAGTCAAGACTCGGAAGATCCAACAAACAGTCAGGTTGAGAATTTTCTACACCGTTTTCAATAAATGAATTTGGAAGAGTGGAATTCTTGGGGGTCTCTCCCTGGACAGTCCCATTTTCTAGAGTTGTTGAAACAGATTCTGACAATGAGATTCTACGCAAAGCATCATATAAATCACAGTCCTTGCTTCTGGGAGATTCGCCAGACTCCCACTGCTCGGAATTCATTTCTGACTGATGGCTAAGACAATCATCTGACACAGAAGGAGAGGATCTATAGAATGTATCATCATCTGAGTCCAAACCAACACTGAATCGTGCAATGGATGGTTCTGGGATCAACTGAAACAAGTGAAAGGTATCTTTGCTGCTTTCACAACTACTATTACCATCACGAAATTTCAATTTCAGCTTGGAAGTCTCAAAGGCATCTATTGGCTGGAAAGATATTTTCATATGCTCAAGCGGTGGAGATGAAGAGGGTGACCTAGTGGGAGATTTGCCTCCAAACAAACCTTTAGTCTTCCCTGGGAATGTTTGATATGCAAACTTTTGACAATTTTTATGCTCAAAAACACCTGCACTCAGGTAGCTGCCATGGTCAGAAATTTCATCTCCCCCAAGTGACAGTTTTCCGTTAGGTCCATTTAAAATTAGTTTATTACCAGTTTCAATCATCCGAGATGAACTTTGGTTATTCTCCTGCCACGCTGTGGTAGCTTTGACATTTAAATCAGCAGGCGAATATTTACAAGATCTCTGCCTAAGAGAGAAATCATTTTCTTGATAATCTTGGCATGATGTGGAGTAACCCATATCGGAACCCGGTTTCACACCCGGTGCATTTTCCAATTTATCGGGTTTCCCTTTATCTCCATTGCCACCAAAATTATTGCTCTGACTAAAGGTTCTAATTTTGGCATTTCCTTCTTTCACAGAATCTTGAGCGAGAGCATTCATTACACTAAAATCTGGAGGCTTTGATGGCTCCAGTCCTAGCAAGCCACCATTAGTCCAGAACTTAACTGAAGTAACATTTGAAGATTCTGGTGGAGGTTTCTGAGACTCAGGACTACCAATTGGCATTCCTGAATTATCCTTTCCGGAGTTAGATGATGATACTTCGCTGAAAACAATTTCTCTGCTTGGGCCATCAACATTTTGTGGACGGCCTGTTTCCAAGGATTTGCTATCCATTTGAGGGGATATTAAACAGGCATTATTCTCAGAGGAGATTGAGTTAAATTTATCCTCTTTAGTTACTTCGTCAGTATAACAAGAAGCTGCAGGAGGAGTATCCGGAGACACTGAAATGGCATTATGTACATAACTATCATTGTTCAGAGAGCCGTTGTCCATAAAGTTGGATTCAAAATTTGATGAATGACAATCAGAATGTCGCGTAACAATCCCAAACGATCCATCATCATCTATTTTCTTATCATCCAATTTATTGTAATGCAGTACTTCTTGCTTTGTCATGCAGTCTATATCAGATTCAGGCTCTGACTCAATGCTGTTAAGTGCATCCATATAATGATCTGTTTCACTTTCAATTTCATCAAGCTGGATATCACCAGGCTTTGACGATGGTACATCGTGATTACGAAACTGGGCATCCATTTGGTCCACAGATTCGAAATTAACTGCTTCATTCTCCTCAATGTCATCAATCTGGATATCACCAGGCTTTATCGTTGGCACATCATGATTACAAAGTTGGACATCCATTTGGTCCTCATATCCAAATTTAACTGTTCCATCCCCCTCAATGTCATTAAGATGTATATCACCAGGCTTTGACATGGGCACATTGTGATTACAAAGTTGGACATCCATTTGGTCTACAGATCCAAAATTAACTGCTCCATACCCCTCAAAGTCATCAACCTGGATATCACCAGGCTTTGACATTGGCACATCGTGGTTACAAAGTTGGTCATCCATTTTGCTAGCAGTCCCAAAACCAACTGCTCCACCTGTCTGTGTATCTAGGTCAAAATTTGAGGAAGATGACTCTAAATTTTCATCACTATCATACTCCTCTGCCTTGGGCTCCAGCATATCTGCCTTTTCTTCCCAAGTAACAGAAGGTGAACTACGTCTAGTTTGCTCTTCTGATAAATTGATTTGACTATCATCATCCGCATCAGCACCCTTCTCCTTGAGAAACTCGTAATCAAGGGAATAACTTTGGTTTTTTAATGGAGAAGAAAAGGATTCTTTAGATTCTAGTTCTTCGGGTTGAATGGAATAAACTGGACGGAAAACACATTCAATGTAGCCAGATCCATTTCTTGAATCTAAATTTGATTGCTCTGCCACATCGGATTTTAATGTAGCATCAAATGTCGGCACTGTTTGAAAAGGAGAAGTTTGCCCATCAACACTCGATTGACGGAATTGCGTTCTGCAATGTTGGAGCATCCAAGCATAATTTTTAATGACCTCAAATCAGTAGAAGATGAAAATCATGTGCTAGTATCCTAGTATTAATAGCTCATTTCCTCGTTTTTACTTTGCCATTTTCCCCTTCTGAATTTAAGTATAAAATGCAAGTACCTGCCACTATGATTGAAAAATGATGCATCTCGAGATACTTTACTACTCCTGGCCCATGATCCTTTTCTCTGTTCAATTCATGGCATGTATTAGTAACATAACACTAGGATTAATAGCTTGGGGGGGGGGGGGGGGGGGGGNCCTGACGGGATAACGTCAGGCCCCTAAAATGGAAATGGAAAGGAACCCATTGTCTGGCAATTTTCTTATTACTGTCAGAGAATTTGTCTAATCACTTCAACTGGACCAGGGGACCTCATTTCATATTTGATGAAAAACTACGAAGCACCATTGTCTTGGGATAGGGGGTTTAAAAAGCACAACTGTCAACGTTGTAACAATACAATCATCTGACCAGATAAAATCAGGCCTCTAAAATGAGGAGAAAAGGAATGTACTGTCTTGCAATTTTCTTCTTACTCAAATAACGAATTAATCTAATCACTTTGACTGGACTAAGGGGGACCTCTACTCAAATTTGATGAATAACTCCAAAGCACCATTGTCTTGGGATAGGGGGTTTTCAAGATTTTATTCTACCTTTCACTAAATATTAAGTCGACTATAATGAGAAATTCTAATAAATCTGGCATATATTTCATACTTTCTGCAGAGCTATCAAGTGAAAGTAATTCCTAACCAACGTTGCTCCAGTACCCTTTTGGCAAATGCATTTCAGGTCTCTAGTAATAAGCCTTATAGTGAACCTTTCAGCTTTAGCAACGCATAGCAGTAGAGAAAATAATTTATATTGCAATTATCCCATTTTAGAGGTGTAGAACAAGTAGAGAGAGGTTCTTTTAATGGTCGATGCATCAATCATACCTGGATCCTGCGAACCTTTTTATCGTTTGAAATTTTCTCTTTACCAGCTCCTGCTGAAGCTTTCTTAAAGAAAGTTGGATCTGAATACCTTTTCAGGCAAGATCCAGGGCCACCAGGGTCAAACCTGAAAGACAAAACACACACTTCAATGGCAAAACAAACAGGGAGGAACAGAAGACATTTTAAGATATTGCCATACTTATCAAGCAAATACAAATGTGGAAGTCCATGGCAGTCTTCATAGGAATCCATAATGAATTGGGGCATGTCACTGTATACAAAATGATTTCGATGACACCGGATGCGAGGATGCCAATTGGAACCTGCAATTAGCATTTTCCATGAATATTAAGAGTAATTATTCATTCTGTTATAAATTTAAAAAACAGGGGAAAAGGGCAGGTTGGGCACCAGCTGTTATTTATTTATTTATTTTAAATAAATGAAAAAGGCCATTCCAGCAACTGTGTTCCACTCACACATTTTGTGACACTAAAAAAAGTGGGAATGCCGATTAGAAACCATTATCCAGCTAGTTCCTAGAATTACATTCCAATCTCTCAACAGAGGAAAAAACATTCTAGCATGAGTTTGAAACATACACACCAATGCCCATTTGACAAACACCACTGTCACCACAGCCCCATGCCAGTCTGCCTCTACTTGTCACCACCACCACCACCACCACCATCTCTCTCTCTCTCTCTCTCTCTCCATCCCTCCCTACCTCTCTTGGCACTGGATTTTCATGGGCCAATCTTACTTGTAGCTTTCCTTTTTTGCAACCAAACAGTAGATAGGAAAAGGACATTCCATCAGTGATTCAGGTGGAACTGAATTCAAGCTGGAATGGCCTTTGATTCTTGGCAATTCCGCGAACCAAAAGTGGCCTATGAATGGAAACAGGCTATCTACCCAGCCCCAGAAACATAAAGGTGATGAAATGTCAAAGCCAGATAATGAGTCGTACCAGCTGTGTAGGCATAATGTAAATGGCTCCTTTGGGCCAGTACAGCCTTCTCAACTGGAGAAAGTGCAGCTTCAATATGTTGCACACGAGCCACCAGTTTATGGCTTCTAGAAGATGTTATCATCAGTTCCTCCTGTAAACCGTGAAAGACCTCGGCTGCAAATCTATTAATTTAGAAGAGGTTATCTCAGTTTATATTGTTTCAATATCTGAAATTCAGAAATAATAGTTATGTCTAAATATGTAGCATATGGATCCAGATGGCATTAGAATTATTAAACATATATTACTATTATAAGGTTATAGAACTTTCTGCTGATCAATTTTATTTTCCAAATGTGTCACCCTTTGCATAGTTGAACAGATATTGCAGTACAAACTGTAGATCCCAGCAGCTCATGTCTGATATTCGTACTTAATGACAAGCAGATTGCTAGAATAAAATAACAAGTCCTTGGAATGCTGACTATATCAGATAGAGTCAGGGGCGAAGCCAGGTGGGGCCAAAAAAAAAAAAAATCTAAATGGGCCTTGCGGGAAGGGATGGGATAAAGGCCCAGCCTTGCCCCCCTCTCCCTATGCCCCTGGATAGAGTGATCTACAGGAAACAATATCGTAGAGAATCTATTAGCTATTAACCTAATGATTAAACATATGTATGGAAACACAGTTTTTACAATAATGAAAATTATGCTCGACTCAGTTTTTTTTTTTTTTTTTGCAGTTGTTTATAGCATAAAATCTTATGATAAAATAACAGTACCATAAGAAGATGGCACAGAAATAACTTTATATTAAGTACATATCCAACATTTGCAGATTCCGATAATCTGCACCTAGTCCAGAGGATGAACAACAGGTTGGTATCAACGATAGAATGATAGTATGCTATTTAATACCAAAATAAGGACATTGATTAGCTAAATTTCAGCATTCGGATCAAGAAAACAATCAGTGTAATTCAATGACATTACAAAATCACCACATGAAGAGATCATAAGACCATAATTATGATTAAAGGGTAAAACAAATTTTTTAACATTGATAAATCACTTGCTATATCCATCTGAAAGTCCAAATCAGTAACCATTTAAGTTTTTATCTCGTAAATAAATAGAAGAAGAAAATAATGGCATATTAGAAAAATTATTTGAATCCGAAATTCCTTCACCAACATCTTTGTCTTTGCTCCATAAAAACGTCTTATTTACCAAGCAGTAATTTAGGTCCACATCACCCTTTTGACACCTGAGAACGACAAACACAGAACACCAAAAGCCATGACCCTTTTTTGGCTTACCATTGGTTTCCATACATATATATTCTCTACTTTCAGTAAGGCTTACACAGCAGGTCGTCTTTCTAATTTTGATTCTATACAAGTCTATGGATGGGCTACAAGTGCATAATGGAAGTATTGTTGGAAGATACTGCCTTCGGAATAGTAGAATTTGAGGAACTTGTGTGTGCTATCCTCATTGGAACTGTAATGAGGTGCCTATTGTTCGTAGGAAGCCCTAACTGGAAAGAGAAAGTATATGCTGGGTGAGTGATTATTCTCCTCCTTAGCATGAAAGCTTCTATGGGCAAGCATAGTTTTGTATGTGTCCACAATCTTTGAACTATCCTTGATCTCTTATGACACTTATTGTGAAGCTAAATTCTTTCAAACCAGAAGAATATGAATAAAAAAAGTATCCAAAGCTTTCCATTCTCACCAAACTTATAAAAGCACTCAGGGCATAGCCGAGTACAGAACAAGAAAGTCAATTTTTGCGTATTCAACTGACAATCAGAATACAATACAAATTCAAACTATAATATGAGTATTTTCTCAAATTTCGAAAAATAAAAAAAATATCCCACTACAATATAAAGTAGCAACTAAAAATGGCAAACAAAATTCTCAAAATTAGTCAAAATTAGACCAAAATCCAGTAATTAACTTAAAGAAGGAAAAACCGAAAGAAATAGAGTTCAAGGTTAAATCAAATTTGAATTTTTAGGGAGAGAAACATTTCAACCTGTAATATGATCGTTATTTCAAATTTAAGCAAAATCTCGCACTAGATTACAAAGTAGCGTAACCTACGCAAACAAATTCTCAAATTTAGAGAAAACTCCAGCACAACATAGCAAATGACGACTAGAAGAGTTCAAAGTTAATCGAGTTCGAATTCTTAGAAAGAGAACCATTTCAACCTAACATTTCCAATTATTAAGTAAAAGAAATAGACGCTCTCCACAGAGAGTTGTCATAACACTTACTCAGCAAGATCTCCGAGCTGACGTAAGATCCCTACGAGACCAGCTACAGCTACGCCGTCGAGCACCTCCTTCGGATCCTCCTTGTTCGCCTCTCTGTACAGCTCCGGAGCTCCGAGTCTGTATTCATTCCTTACCTCCACTCTTACCAACGGCATCCTATACAGATACTGAGATACACTCTCGCAAACACACTACCATAGACGAAAGACAAAAAGATTAACAGAGCCTCAGGATTCGAGACTATATTAGGCTATTAGCTAAACGGATGAAATGGGTATTCAATCATAGAAATTAAATAATGGAATTGTGAGAGAGAATCAAAGAGAACACAAGTTGAACAATTAGGTAGATGGATTGCAGCAGGTTAACTGCCGAGAAGGTAATGTGTACAGAAAAAGAAAGTGAGTACTATGTGTGTGACTGAAGGAACTTGCAATTGAACAAAGCAATCCATCCCTGGGGTTTGTGCTGAATGATGACAGTAAACTGAAAAGACGAAACTAGCCTTGGATGAATTTACTGAAGATTTCACTAGAAGTCACCCAACTTATATGCTTGTTTCATGTTGGTCACTTAACTTGAATTTGTGCAAGTTAATCTCCCAACTTATGTTTCTATTTCAACTCAACCATTCCGTCTACGGTCTCAATGAGTGCTGATTTGATAAAACTTTAACAAAATTTTATCAAATTTAGCCCTTGTTTAACAGTCATTATCTCAAAACTCTTTAATTCTAATTATATTTTCAACCACGCATTTGTACAATAAAATATTGAATCTAACTCTAAAAAAAATTCCTACTTTTTAACTAAATATTCCCTTAAAAAATTACTATTCAAAACTCTATTTTCTGAAAATAATGGTCATCATACGGGGCTTAATTTTAATCAATTTTTTTTTTATAAAATTCATAACTTGCATCAATTTTTCAATCATACATTGATCGATTTTTATCAGAATATGATAAAACTTTTATAAAAAAAACTTTGTCAAATAACCCTCAAAATTAAAAGAATTCACAACTTGACCGACATAAATTTTGAGTCAACTTTTTGAGAAAACTTCTTTTAGCCCATGTTTGGGCTCCATTAAAAATAGAATTTAGAGAAAAATGCATTTTAAAATAATATTTTTTGAAAAAAATGTAATTAAAAAATAAGAAAATATTTTTGAATTTACGTTTAATATTATTTTATTGGAGAATGCGTACTTGAAAATAAAATAGAGAAGTATTTTTCTAAAATGGAGTCCAAACGAGAGCTTAGTATTTAGCCTCTGTTTGGTTCAACTAAAAAGTTGATTGAATTTTGAGTTATAGTCAACGATTAATTAAAATCACATATTTTATGGGCTTACAATATTTCAATCATATATTTCATTAATTTTTATCTGATTTTTATCTAAATTAAACAAGGGCTTAAAAATAAAAATCACAATCCCTTAAAACAATATACACAAAACATTGTACAAGTCACAAATTTCATTTGTTAGATCACAAAACTTGTCATTTCTAGCAACGTTATGGTCTGAACATTCAAACAAAAAACAAAAATATAAGTAGAGTGGTCGAATTGAAACATAAATACAAGTCATTGATCAATATGAAATAAACCTATAGGTTAGTGGCCTTTAGTGATATTTTTCTATAAGTTGACCTTGGTCAGTGTTGAAATGACGGGTTTAACCTTGTAACGGTAATGGGAACAGCAGTCGTTCCATGACATCGTTTACTCCGCCGAGAAGAACGGGTCACGGCGCATATTTATTTATTTTATTTCAGGATACATTAAGAATTACTTTTTTGCTTTTTCAGAAATTATAAAATATATGAAATAATAAAAAGAAAATGATATTATTGCCCCCTTTTGGTTGTAAAGAAAGGAGGAGAAATTATTGCAGCCAAGCCAGCCACCAAACTTTCGCCTTTTTTATTTTAACAATTTTCCATTAGAGAATTGTCGCGTACAATCTTTATTTTATAGCAGAGAAAATAAAAAATAGCCAACCTTCTTTTACCCGCAAAAAAAAAAGGAAAAAATCCTTTAATTAGGAATAATGTTAGTTCATGGAAGTACTAGACTAAAGACGAGAAACAGTGTATCTATTGAGTGATGCTGTAAAATTTGATGCATTTGGGAGAAGCCTATTGGTAATCAACTGCATAACTAATTGAAAAGAATAATCAAACTACAGTCTACAGGTAGAAATGCATGTATAAAAACAATACAAACAAGACACGTGTGGGGAGTGGGTGGTTTATTTTTTTTAATATAAAATTGACATGGGGCCCACCCAGAGGCGGAGCCAATCGTTTGAAGTTGGAGGGTCCCAGAATTAAAGATATAGAGATGCCCCTGAATTTTTTTTTTTTTTTTAATACCTTATTTACAAAAAAATCAAAAAACACATAAAAGAAAGTACCAATATTTAATTTAACAAAATCATATCTTATTACAAGCGTTCCTTTCAAGTTCTCATACTTTGAAGACGAAAATAAAAAATAAAATTAGTATGGTTTAAGATTTTTATTCAATTTGAGGACAAAATGGTAATGGTAAATACAAAAAGAACAAAAAAAATAAAATTTAAAAAAAATTGTCAAAAATTTTGGGATGGGGCGCCACCCGGTCATTGACAGGGGTGCCAGGGTTGCTGCTTGGCGCCCCTGTCAATGCCCCGATCATTGAGCCGAGGCATAAAGCATATCTTTTTTTGATTTTCTTATGCGGAACAGTATTTTGTACAAGCGGAATTTTTGTTGAAAAGAAACCAGGGTACTTGACTGTAGCAAGCCATAGCTAAATATTGATTTGGATGTCATTTTACTATTGGNCATGATTTTTTTACTAATATTTTTGCTAATTCCAAAAATAATGATGAGTATCAGATTTTCGACAAACAAAACATCCCTTCATTGCATGATCAAGTAGATTGCCACAGCACGCACACCACCGATACAGCCAAGTACCCAAACACAGGGGCGGAGCTAACCGTTTGAAGTTGGGGGTCCTAGAATTGAAGAAATAGAAATGAAGGGGTGGGTGCCCCCGAAAATTTTTTTTGGATACCTTATTAACAAAAATACCAAAAAACATATAAAAGAAAGTACCAATAGTTAATTTAGCAAAATCATACCTTATTACAAGTGTTTCTTTCGAATTCATACTTTGAAGACGGAAACGAAAAATGATATTGGTAGGGTTCAAGATTTTTATTCAATTTGAGGATAGAATGGTAATGGTAAATACAAAAAGAACAAAAAAAATAAAATTTAAAAATTTAAAAAAAATTGTCAAAAATTTTGGGGGGAGGGGGGGGGGGTCAGGACCCCCTAGCTCTGCTAGTGGGCCCACCCCATGTCTCTTTTCTAATTGGAAAACACTCAATGCCCCGGCTCAATGACCGGGGCATTGATGGGGCGCCACCCGATCATTGACAGGGGGGGTTGGAGGGGGGGTTGCTGCTTGGCGCCCCTGTCAATGCCCCGATCATTGAGCTGAGGCATAAAGCATATCTTTTTTTGATTTTCTTATGCGGAACAGTATTTTGTACAAGCGGAATTTTTGTTGAAAAGAAACCAGGGTACTTGACTGTAGCAAGCCATAGCTAAATATTGATTTGGATGTCATTTTACTATTGGATCTTTGACTACAATCTGGGTGTGATTTTTGGCTTGAAATTCTAATTAAAGTATATGAACTTTTATCCTTTGTTTCAAATTTCATATATAAATTTTAGAGTATTTCAAAATCATGCATAACCTCAAAAAAGTGATTTTTTATCGAATACAAAAATAATATTTGTCAACCGGATCAATTCATGTGGCAAATAACGCATATACGGGACATTCAATTTTATTTTGAATATAATATTTTGTCTATAGAATTAATTATTGAATTGTAAGAAAGTTGATGTTAATGTAATGTGAATAAATATAGAGATTTTTTAAAATTGTATTAGGGATATATTTAGAGTGCAATGAATGCATAACATTTGTATAGATATATAGTGTTTAATTGAATGAATTCAATAAGGACAATATTAGAATGTGACACGTTGGAATGTAACGTGGATGACAATAATAATTTTTTAAAATTTTTAATATTTTAATAGGGATGAATATATAAAAATCATTTGTGGGCAATGCGTTAAGTCAGACCTAAATATGGGGTGGACCAATTTTTTATCCAACCGAGTCCACATTAGCCTTAGAAGCTATCTTTGTCATGTCGGAGATGAGAAGGGAAACTCGAACTCAAATCTTAACTGACCCAGTTAGATTTCGCTCTTACTCCTTAATTTCGAATAGTTAAAAGTAATAAACTATAGCCATAATCAAATAATTATTTTATTAATACACTTATAATCAGATCACCCAAATACGAATTTGAGGTTGCAATAAATTCCAAACAAGAGTATGGCTGCTACCCCATTATAATCAATCTCTATTGCCTCAAAAAGAAAAATAATCAAATATGAAATGGAAAGAAATTAAAGATTAATTCATTAATGATCGATAAATGCATGGCCCCATTCTCAAGCTGCCACGCAACGTGACGACAATTTGAGGAAATTATTTTGTCAAAATCAACCAGTTGGAACTTATTTAAAAAAACATGCACATATACCATATATAAAAGATAATTCCGCAAAGAAAAGTTGGAGACAATAGCATCACTCCAACGTAATTTAAGGAAGACATTTTTTTTTTAATATTTTTTTCCTGTTTATGATTTATGTAATTTATATTTGTTTATTGATTTTGTTATGAACAACTAGGTTCAAGCTAACTAGGAAATTTATTTGAATATTATATTGTAAAGTAAAAATAATTCCTTAAGAAAATATTCAATATTAAATCAAAAAAAGATCATAAATTTTGATACTAATGACCTAATGTCCAAGGGATGTATAGTTTATTTTTTTTAATATTAATTCATGATTTAATTTTTCTAAAACTTTTCAATGACACACGATTTTATTAAAATCTGCTAAAACGAGCTAAGCACTACATGCAGTGCCGACAGAAGAGGGAGGCACAACCAGGAAACATGCAAACTTTAAATTCTTCCCAGTGGTGTGGGTGCCGAAATTATGATCTCAATCAGCCAGCGAGAAATTTAAAACTTGTTATTAATAATAAGTGCTTAAAAGCAACCTTTTCAAGTGCTTTCTCCATGACGCATGTCTCCAGAAAAGCAGTTAAAGAAACACTCCAAAATCTCTTTCTCTGTAAATGTTGCACCTAATAACGAACATAACTTTAACAATATTACAAACTTTGGGATAATTATTTTTCCTGTGATTATAAGTAAAAGGATAACTGAGAAAAGATGATTATTTTCAGTTTTAAAGCCCTATTTTTGATGATCTTTATTGAAAATAAAGATTACTCGCCATTTAAGCTTCCATTGGTGCCTCGGAAATGCTCTCTAAGTGAGGTCTCCATATGCCAACACGCCCTCTTCTTCGATCCCTTTGTGTTGATGATACCTTCTCTTTAAGAATATCACTCGAGCATTTATCCGACATGACAACAACGTTGTTGTTCTTCTCAATGGTGACTTGGGACTCTTTCTTTTTCCTCTTTGTTGATGATCTTGTTCGAGTTTTTTCAGGCACTGGCATCAGGAAGTAAATCTTCCCTCTTCGAAGTTCTGCATCAGGAGGAACTGCAACAATCTTTGGGCAAATCCCTTCAGCGGTGGGCGATGAGGGTTTCCTCAGTACATGATTTGGATGTAATTTCATGATCTCTTCTGCTTTAATATTGCTGCCACTTATCTCTTCAAGTTGACCATTAGCGTGGACTATTCGAATCACGTCAAGGACGCCACAGGGTAGAATGCAAGATATGCAGCATCTAATGGTGTTCTTCATAGAGAGAGAGAGAGAAGAAGAAGAAGGTTAAACTAGATGATAGACAAATCTCCAAGCAAGATCACGTGGACAGTGGCTTACATTGGAAAGTGAAGGCTCATGGACTTGTTTTTCACAAATGGATCTAGGTTAGTGGATTGCTTTGACTTGTGTGAACTCTAATTGTCTTATTTGCCCACCCAAGATGAACCATGAAAGAATAAGAGAATGTAAAATATAAATAATAGGGGAATTATCACACAAGAGAGTTTTAAATTATTTAATTTTATGAATATAAAAATTCAGTAAGAAAAATTGTATAAATGCTCCAGACTCCTAGTCTAGAATTGCCAATGTTGTGCCTAGGCCTACGAGACAGGATACGTTGCATACAGTAAAGAAAGAAAAATAAGTGGCCATGCAAGGTCCATACTTCACTTCACATCGCCCTTCACGTGTCCTCAGAGGCGATTGGGCAAAATCCTTGGACACGTCGTCCGAAGTGATTACTACCAAGGCTATATGTCGCCTCCTATTGTAGTGTGTTTCCGAGGCGACTAGCATCTTTTGTGATGAGTATCTTTTACAAGCATCGCCTCATTCAAGACGCTATGTACGTCAGCAAATTTGATAGTCTTATAGCAAATACGTTCAATCAATTTCCAATTTGCACGCTTGTGACCTCTTGTGGTTGCTTTTTAGCTTTTGACTAGGCGCCCACGACCTACGAATCAGGAATTGCTACATTTGAGCTTCACTATTGTGTTGTTAAGATGAGGCTACGTGCCAAGAATTCAATAGATAATACATTTTTTACATTTGAATAAAAGCTCACACTTAGTTTCTTCCAAAATTAATGCATTCTTGTAATGCGAACTTGATAATCTTCAATCATTCACTCATATTTTTCATCCATTGTATCTTTTCCACACCAAAATACTTTTTTCACGATTTAACTCGAGCGTATGAGTGTCTGCAACCGTCGCACCTTCATCGAAGCTACGGTCACTTGCAGTCTAACGTGTTGTTCAAGTTTGCAAATAACATACACGTGAACGAAAGTGGAGCCGAAATCTGTCGACATTCGAATCTGGAGGTCAACAACAAATTTTAGATCAACGAGTTTCGTTTGACAATTCTTGCATTAGGGGTGAAAAATCCTCTTGAGAATACTGCAGTTTATCATTAAATATAAAATTTGTATAATAGAATCGAACTAGAAATTTTGGAGTTTTTAAAGTTGCCAAGACCTTGTAAATAAAGAAAGAATCACACTACAATTATAGGAAAAGGGTCAATGCAGGTGGACAGGTGTCCTCCCTTATCTTTTAAAATATTGATTCAATGAATGGTAAATTTTATTTAATCAAAAAACTTTAAGTCTATGTCAATTTCGTTTTCTAACTATATTAATTAAATCAATAATTTAAGAATGACAAGGATACTAAAAATCTCTTGACAATTGCTCCAAGTACCTCACAATCGATGTACCAAACTAATAAACATGTGTGTTTCGAACTTGGAAAAGAATTCAAAAGTAAATTGATTTCATTAGATAAGATAGTGGGACACGAATAAAGATTGCTATTAAGAGAAAAAGAAGCTTTAGGTTAAAACAGTAATAATTATCCAAACAATGTCTAATCAAAAAAGTGGATCGGACGTTTAGGTCTCCTTTGGTGAGGTTTTCTGAAAATCATTTTTCTCTAAACTTATTTTTTTTACTTTTTCTTATTTTTTTTAACTATTCTCGTATTTGACGATCATTAAAATAATTTTTGAAATAGTGAATTTGGATTTACGTGTAAAATATTGTGAAAATATGTGATTAAAAATGAGTTTGAGAAAAAAAAAATAGTTTTATTTTAACAATGTTTGTCAAACACTATATATTCTCCCAAAAAAGGAAAAAATACTTTTCACGTAATTTATTCTCAAAAAATTGACGACAAACAAGTCCTTAATAATTGAGAAAGAGACGTAAGTGGGATACATGTGACGAATGGTGGGAAGGGTCATATCGAGGGTAGGGTCCTTCGCCAAGAATCGCATATAATTGGAAACAATTTGCATATGTGGTCTTCAAATATACTCTTTGGAGCACTTGAATCCCCAATTGAGTTCGTGTATTCGCGAAACTAGGGAGAGAATGGGAGGAGAGGGCAAAGGCAGCAGAGTTTAGGAGGGGTATAGGTGGAAGAAGACAATCGAGATGGATTTATTTATTTATTCATTCATTCATTCATTCTTTCTTTCTTTCTTT